AACTTGCGAGATGCAATACGTTGTTTCATTCTATCAGCATACAGTAACTTCACTTCTTTGAGGACACGCTTGTACTCATTACGAGCAGAGACAAAGAGACTTCTGTTGCAATCAAACGTGTCGCTCTAGTACAGCCGAAAGAAGTGATTCTTGTGGCCTATAGTGCGGCCAAGCATGCAGGCGAGAACCAAGGAGACGAACACAGTTTAACTTGCTGGAATGAAAGCATCGATGCCGGCTTTCACACAAGAGGAGACTTCAGAGGCGTATTTTTTAGCAGGATGATTAAAAACTTCGCTCCAAGAGACGTTACGAAGAAAATGAAGGAACGATTCCCAATCCGCTCGTTGATAACAGAAAGTAATTCAGTTGGTAAGAGTCTCTTGACTGATTGGGGAGCGGAAAGAGATGTTTAAAGACATTACCACGTGATCAGAGTTGCCAAGAGGGCCGAGTTGCCTAGTACGATAGGGACAGAGGTTAAAAAAAGAGATCTAGACGAGAAGCGTGTCTATCAGGATCATTGAGTAAATGCCGGAAGTAGTCCAGCACTTGCACGAAAGATTAAGAAGTTCCGGGTTTGGATACCAGCGAGGTCAAGGACAGAGTGTTTATGCCATATGGCATAGTGGTCATTAATATCACCGAACGCAAATATATTTGCAAATGCGTGTTGGGAGATGACCTTGTCTATATTATTAGAAATGCTGTCTAGCAAGCAACAGCTATGACAGGAAGGGGAACAGTAGAGAAAGAAGAGATAGCTGACTGAGTTTAATAGAGAGAGGCGGAGACACATGTAAGGATGATTTGAAGATTCAAGAGAGAGTTTCCTATCCAGCGGGAGATATTCGCAGACATAAACTCTCAGGCCATGTACATTAGAGTTCCTCCTAAGGAGAGGAAGATAGCCAAGAATCGAGACATCAGAGGAGAGGATTGAAGAGTTAAGATTGCTTGCGCAAAAAGCTAGGATGACTAGAGGCTTTTCGAAAAGGAATGATTCCACACTGCAGAGGTTGGTACGAATATCGTGAATGAACCAAACCTCTTTAGTCCATGGGGGTAGATTGTTCTAGTTACCTTTTCTGGATATCTCAGTTTCAGTTATTACCCTCTAGTGTCCTTGCTGACACATGGCCCAGTCGATAAAAGTGTTGGTTAAAGTAATCCAATGACTTGACCCAAAGAATTGTGAGTTCAATACCTGAACAAAAACTTGGATAGTTGAGTTATTAAAGGGAAATAACTGAAACTGGTATATCCAGAAAAGGCATGGCACGTGAAACTAGAACAATATACCCCACTAAATGAACCAAATAAAAGACTTGGTTTGAAATTCCAATGTATATTACCTGAAGAAGCCAGAGCGTACACCAGCCGAAACATCATGTGTTTAGGTGTTTTTTTTTTTTTGTTTTTTTGTTTTTTGTTTTTTCTTCTTTTTTTAGCCGGTTTAGTTTTATATCTTTGGTTTCTTACCGGCATGATGTGTTATTTTATTAAGTGAAGGCCTAGGGTAGTAGTAGCAGTCGTTCGTCCAATGTAATATGTGCGGGAAGGAAACTGGCACAGACTGCAACATAGTGTAGCCTCAGAGTTGCCCACCGGAGGTGCTTGAAGGGACACCCTTCCATGCGCGACATGGCACTGCAAGAACCCCGAAATTATGCAACTGTTGATCAGAACATCCTCTCAAGACGTTGCGCAAGTGTACGGGCTTCTAACTACAAATTGGAAACAGCAACCTGAAAACTGTCCACCCGATACCCTCAGTATGAAAAAACGTTGCCACCATCCACACATATTACAAAAACATTCATGACAGCACCACTATTAAGAAAAAGAAGGAAAAGAACCGGGAACACCTTCCTAAACAGGAAACAAGAGATGAACTTCTACATCTGTTCCAGAGAAGGGGGCGGAGTATGGACCGGAAAGCCTATATAGTCATATTAAAAAAAAAGAAAAAAATAGTTACTAAGTTTTAACTTAGTTAAATCAAAATGTCTATTAGAAATTCAAGAAAGAATTAAAATTTGCAAAGACCTACCGATTCAATTTACTACTCAGGGATAAACTCCGATTAAAATGTAATATTGGGAATAATAAATTAAAAATTAATATGCAAGCACTTTATACAGATGTACCAGCAGGCACCTAAGTGTATATATATATATATATATATATATATATATATATATATATATACTAGCAGCATGACCCGGCGTTGCCCGTGCTTGATTCAAAAATCGTACGACTCATACAGCAATCGCTATCACTTCACTTAAAATATTTTTGCCCTTCCTTGCCTTTAAAGAAGTGCCCTTTACCTTGCTGATGTTGCTACATGCCTTACTTCTTGCCTATCTCACACTGCGAATTTTTCTAAGCTCTATACTAAACATTAAATCTGTTACGAAAAAGAACTAAACAAAATGAACACAAAACGATCAGCTTTGAAAAGGACTCGTAACTGGAAAACCGAATGAAAAAGAATGTTAACAACAAATACTTTTTCACACCCAACCCAGTTCTGCGGAATCAGAATCAACGTTGAGTTTAAGCAAGCGAATGAACCAACTGGAGTAAGGTCCCATGCAGATTTAAATTTTTCCCACTTGTGACGAATGCAGCTATCGATTTTTTGCATGCTAGCATGCTAGTATTTTCGTGTCAGTCAGCTGTTGTCTCTCACGCTGGCCAATACAATCTTCGTCCCTATTCGTGGCAGCCAGCTATAGGCTCTCACTCTGGCCAGTGTAAAATGGCCGCAAACTACATGAAAATTGCCGTAGAAGCATGAAAAAATCGATTATTTCCACTATCAATGGGATTTGGGAACTGCAATGTCGATCTTGGCCTTCCCGCTAACTTGGAGCATGTGCATGTAAATTTTGGTGTAAATCCGTCGAAAATTACGGCCGTGCATTCGTTATACACACACACACACATCCTGCCTTATATATATATATATATATATATATATATATATATATATATATATATATATATATATATATGGGGGTGCACAAATACACGCGCATACATGTACACGTGTTGAGGCAAGTATTAAGGGAAAATTAAAACAATTAAAGAAGAAAACAGAATAAAATTCGGAAAATGGATGACATAGAAATGTGAAACAGGCAAAAAACAACCAACAAATCAACAAAAGTTAAATACAAGAAAATTCTACAAAATAACAATCAAAAGTTTTCATTTCAATGATAACAATTACATCAAGACTGGCGAAGTCAACTAGTGGGTTCTTGAATGAATATTAAATAAAGAGAGGTTTGATGACGCCAACTTTGAGTGTGGGTACAGTTAATACTTATTTTTTCTCTGGTTTGATTTAATTCATAAATTTCCCCTGGACTGAACTATTACTGTTTTGAACGTTTAATTGTAATATATTTATATTTTTAGTTATTTAAATAAATGATTTTTATTATTATAAATGTCTAGCGTTGATAGTACCTCTCTCTCTCTCTCTCTCTCTCTCTCTCTCTCTCTCTCTCTGCAAAATGGCGGCTCGTCCTAAGTTTTGATGTTCATTTCAATACAAAAACTTCAATTCAGCTGTCTTAACTAAAACAAATATTTTTCTTATCCGATATTCATTTCACAACAACAAAGTAATTCATATTTCTCTTCAGATATTTCTTTTGATAAAACTTTTATTTGTGTTTGTGTAAAAATGTTTTTCCTGTTGAAGAATTGCTTTCTTCATCCGATTTGGATGAAGAATTTCACTTATTAAAATAACTACAACTACCTACATATTTTGATTTAAACATTAATATAAATATGAAAAAATGCAGAGTAACATTAGACCTACTGTAATAATATTAATAGCAATGACATGATTATTGGATCATACTTATTATAAAACCCAGGTTGTGTGTGTGTCTGTGTCTGTTCGTTTATATATTGGATCGGATTTCCTATATTTTTCAACCGATTTCAACAAAACTTCACAGGACTACGTAAAATTACCTTGCGGTGGTTCTGACAGCGCCAAAAATGGGAAAAACACAATTTTTTTTGCACGAAATCAATTTGAAAACACGATTAAGAGGCATCGCTGTCGAGAATGAAAGGGGGACAACTCATATCGAGTTATACTTATCATAAAACCCAAGTTGTTTGTGAGTGTGTGTCTGTTCGCTTTTCCTACATTTTCAACCGATTTCAACAAAACTTCACTTTTTGGGGGCAGATAGCGTTTCTTATTGTCTTGCACACTTTTTTCTTTATTTTTACATTCAGAATGCTTTAAAAATTCCATTTACAAGACAATTGTTTATAATAAAATTCTATTCAATCAGTAGACTCATAACGATTGAAAACAATGCTTTTGTTTGAGTTTGGGTTTGACCAATTCGTAAAAAAAAAAAAATAATAATTAAGACATGCATGTCCATCAACCTTAAACAATAATCTTTGTCAATTTTATTTTTCAGTCTTTATGATGGTCGATACTTGATCTATCCCTTACTGTTACATCCCCGGGCAACGCCCGGCTTTACTGCTACTATATTTATATGTATAAAGTGCTATGCATAGATTGTTAGTGATTGAACCAGAGATTCAATCACAACATTGAACACTTGTACGGTAAGCAAGTAGTGGTTATTTAAGATTATGAATTTATGATGCAGTACTAATTAATAGGTATTGATACTTTGTGAATATATGAATAGATAAGCTTTTTAATTGTGCAAGTTGAGAAAAGTGTCCAATATAGTCATATAGACCGATACATAGATGAAGCTAGATCAGTGCCAGACACCCTAGCTATGCCACTGAGTTAAATCTAGGTCCGGCAGTTTTGTGAATCAGTATTTAGTAAAGAGTTTGTATTAAGAATAAATATTGTTCGTACAATTAAAGGGAGGACCTGTTCATTATGGAAGCAGAATGTTGAAATATTTAGGTCTTGTTGAAAGCACACTTAAAACCTACATTCTGGTGTGGGACTAAATACTAAATATTCAAGATATTTCCAGGTGAATAACGCTTTCAGAAGAAATGAAACGTAATGTTTTGAGTGGAGCACGGAAGAAGAAGAACGCTGAAGAGGAGAAGGAAAAAATAGGAAAACATCCAAAATTAACATCATGGCTCAACACAGGTGCACCGACAGCCACTTAGACCATTCCTTCAAATATAGCATCCACTTCTGCAATGTCAGTCACCAGTATAGTTCCTTCAAATATAGCATTCACATCTACATCGATTCCTGCTACCAATCATCCAGTTTCAGCAGATATACCATCATTGCCTGTTGCTACTGCTGCTGGTGACATTTTACAAAAGGAAATATCCAAATCCGTAACAGGGAAGAAGCTTGCTGTCCAAGAGACAGTTCTGGTACTATGGAACATTAATGATAATAACAATAGATTGCTGGATTCGTAGTGGGCCCTCATCATGTCGAAATCATGATATCAACCTTTCAAACTCACGCAGAATGTATAAAACAGTAGAGTAGAGAATATGAAGGCAAGGTATTTATCAATGTGATCAAACGTGAACGGCGGAATGGTGAGTGTGTAAAACGTGAATGGCTACTCTATTCACTATCCCAAAATCGTTTGTACGGCTTTGTGTATCGCCTATTGTCCAAGAAAGAATCTCCCTTTGCTATATCGGGGTTCAATGACTGGATTTGGTTTGGTTTGTTTTGTTTTACGGCATATCAACCTCAACGGGTTATTTAATGCCGACAAAATTTTTATTGCTGGTAATATGTTTTTCTTCAAAAATCTATTTCTGGGAATATTTTTCCTTGAAGAAATCTATAGCTGGTCATATTTTTTCCAAAGAATGTATAGCTGTTTATATTTCTGGTATTTTTTTTTTTAAGTATTGCTGATAATAATTTTTCCTTCATAAATTATTGCTCGTAATATTTTTTTTTTATTACAAAGTATTTCTGGTATTAAAACCTATTTTTACACAAGTTTGGGTGTTAACTATTTGCCCATAGCTGGGACCCTAACAGGTGCTACCACCCTGTGTCAGAGGGTAATGAGAACACCAGCAATTTAGAGGTGGTCCCACGATCCTCAAAATTCCCTGATCAGAGGCCTTGCTGCCGGATGTAGTTTATCGTCATACCCAGAACACTCAATGACTGGAAGCACAGCAATGTTATTGTAGAATATAAAAATGGAGAAGATTGAAAGTGCATGACAACTCATTTGATAAGGTATAAAGAAACTGGAAGTGTAGGTTCTTTATTACTTGAGCAACGTCAGAGCAGGAATCTTGGCATAAACAGTTGTAGTTTCTGAAATTCGCTTTCTTGCATCCCGAGGCTTGTCATTTCGTGGAGAAAATCAAATTACTGAGTCAGAAAAAAATGGCGAATATTTAGGTATACTAAAACTGCTGAGTGAATTCGACCCTTTCTTGGAAGAACATTTCAAAATGTATGGAAATCCTGGAAAAGAGAATCCGTTATATTTATCTGCAAATATTTGTGAAGAATTTATTGAATTAATGGGACAAAAAGATTCTTTGTACTATTCTTCAAGAATTAAAAGTGTTAAAGTATTATTCAATAAGTGTAGATCCCACTTCAGACATCTCACGCACATATCAACTGGCATTTACTGCCCGATATATTTAAGGCTGTGAACCTGTGGAACGTTTCTTGATGCTCATCACCATCTTTTCTCATGGAGCAAAGGATCTAAATAGACATTGTTTTGGGATTTTTTTAATGAGAATAAAATTCCACTATCAAACTGCCTTGGTTAGTCATACGATAACGTCTCAAATATGTCTGGACGATATACTGGATTGCATGCACGGAGTCATCAACTCAATTAGTTTGTCATTTATCTCCCCTGTGCTGGTCACAGCCTGAACTTGGTGGGAAAAAAAACAGTAAAATATTGTCTACATACTGTAAAATTCTTTGACTTTTTTCAGCATTTATTTTTTTGCTGGTTCTACTCATCGCTGAAATATATCGACATCATTTCTAGGAAAAGATTTTATGGTCAAGCGTCCATCTGACATACGATGGTCAGCACATTTTGATGCTGTTCATGCTCTGTATGGAGGCCACGAGAAAGTAAAACATGCACTGGATTCTCTATCAGCTGACAATGAACAGCAAGTGAATACAAGGCGAGAGGCAGAAGGATTGAGCAAAAAAAAAATGGAAAACCTGAAAACAATGTTTCTCACAATTCTTTGGAATGACATGCTAGAAAGAATGATCAAAACAAGTAATGACCTTCAATCAAAGAATGTGAAAATCCTTGTTGCCACGAATCTTCTTGAGTCAATGACAAATCTATCTTCAGGAAGCTAGAGACAGATTCAAAGCCAGGCGTATGTGTCCAGATACAGATGACAGTGAAGGGAAAAAATGAAAACGAATGATACGTTTGCAGGATCAGAAGAAAAGGTACTTCTCAATAAAAGCGAAAAGTTCAAGGTGGAAATTTTCCTTCCTGTTCTGGACACTCTAATCTTTGAACTGACAAAACGCGCAGCGGCTTATTTCACAGATTGGAAATCTGTTTTCTTTTTGCAGTGAATTGAAAACTCTTAAAAACAAAATGTTTGAACAGCTGGCTAATATGTATCACAAAGATCTGAATTATAATGACCTATTAAATTAATGTGAGCTTCTCAAGCACTACGTGGCTCTTGATAAAAATTGTAAGACTCTCCCTTCACTGTACAGTTAAAATTGCACTCAGAATGTTCATGTACATAATGGCGACCAACTGTCCAGGAGAACGTTCTTTTTCAAGAGTAAAACTTATAAAAAAAATCTGCTTCGTGGCACAATGGGGCAGAATCGTTTGAACTGGCTTTCACTCTATTTACATTATTCGGACTATTGTCCTCGTCTTTGTCGCCATATTTATTACAACGTTTCGGCCGCTCCGGTCTTCTTCAGGTGGTTGGAATGTCGAATTGAACCCTTTATTTCGCTCACTGGGGTAGACTGTTCTAGTTCTACGTGCCATGTTTTAATGGATGTCAGTTATCTCCTGTTAATTCCCCTCTTCAAGTTCTCCACTGCCTTACCTGGGTATTGAACTCACACTCTTTGGGTCCTGTCACTGGATATAACCAACGCCTTTATCCATGTGTCCTTGAAGAAACTTTGTAATAAATATGGCGACAAAGATGAGGACAATAGTCCGAATAATGTAAATAGTGTACATAATACCTCATCTCAGAAATATAGACAGATACTGAAGGGCCGAAACATTGTCATAAATATGGCGAAAAAGATGAGGACAATAGTCCGAATAATGTAAATAGTGTACATAATACCTCATCTCAGAAATATAGACAGATACTGAAGGGCCGAAACGTTGTAATAAATAAGGCGGCAAAGATGAGGACAATAGTCCGAATAATGTAAAAAGTGTACATAATACCTCATCTCAGAAATATAGACAGATACTGAAGGGCCGAAACGTTGTAATAAATATGGCGACAAAGATTAGGACAATAGTCCGAATAATGTAAATAGTGTACATAATAGCTCATCTCAGAAATATAGACAGATACTGGCTTTCACTCATGTGCATGAAAAATGGGTTGGCGCCAATAGAATGAAGCGAGGGGTCTGACTGAGCCAGTTGTCGTAGAAATCGGCTTCTGAACTGTTTGCTCACTGGACTGGATATGTATATATATATATATATACTAAAAAGAAACCAGCAATTCCCAACTGAAGTTATTGTGAATTAATCTTAACTTCTGGCCGGTAAACCTTTCTTTCTTTTTCTTTTTTCCCCCTTTTTAGCCCATTGACCAAATCCTTCAAATTAAAATCAAATCTCTTCTGTTTACTATAAAGAAACTTAACTGATCTTCTTGTTCTCTTTACTTCTTTTTCTTATACCACGTGAAACAATGGAGGCTCGTCCTAACTAAAACCAACATTGTTTTAATAATTTCCCGATCGTTCTACCTTATTTAATTTGTTTCCAGTAAACAAAATAACTTAATGAAAATTGCTATTTTAAAACTTGCTATTGTAACCTTGATTAATAAAGATGTCATTTTCTATTGAAGTGTGTTTGTTTTTACCCAATCGGGGCGAAGCATTTGAATCTTTAAAAAAATGAATTATTATTACAACTTGTTACATATTTTAATTTAAATAGAGTACACCTATGGAAAAGGCGAAAATAAAAATATTAATGAGAAATATTAGTTGATAAAATTTTACATTCATGTGACTTCGAAGGAGAATTTCCTAAAAAATAATTAATCTCTACAATTAGAATTTTAAAAATGAGAAAGACTAGAATTTAAAATTCTTTTTAAATTGAACCAGGAAAATTAGAATTAGAAAGATTAAAAAATTAAAACAGAGCGATACAGAATTCTCAAAATTCCAATTCCCTTTTTTTCTGATTTTGATGCATACGTGCGAGATTGACAAAAAAAAAAAAGGCGACTCACGTTGATGGCGGCAGCGGCGGCAGCGGCGGCAGCGGCGGCGGCAGAGTCTGGCTTCGAGACGCCCAAGGTTTGTATTTCGACCTCCGAGAGCGAAACGACGTTGCCGATGCTGCTGCGCGTGGTCGTATGACAATCATCGACTGCTCGCGGTCGTAACGGAAGCGACCCCGCGGTCTCAAACGGGAGACGGAGGAGGAGGAGGAGAAGAAGAATCTTACTTCCATTCTGCGACGTCACGGTTTCCTCCACGTGAGAAAGGCAAATCAAAAGAAGGGGACGGTGAAATGCCTCTCGACTATCGAGTGAGTAGGGATGCCTCTCGACCGGACGGGGCCCCGACACAAGGGATCTCGAGGCTGCAATGTGCGTTCGAGGTGTCGATGTTCACTGAGTCCTGCAATACGCATCAGTTCTTGCGACTCGCCGCGCTCTTCATCGACGGACGAGCCGAGTGATACCCCGTCCAGGGTTTTTGTTTTGTTTTTGTTTTTTTGTTTTGTTTTTTTGTTTGTTTGTTGTTTTTTTTTTTTGGTGGGGGGTCTGGTTTATTTTTGCGACCGGTTAAATGGTTAAATAAGAGTGGTTCCTAAATTTTCAGGAAAAACCCGGATATAAATATTTTCCACAATTTGAAAAAGTAGCAGAAATTTTAAAAGACCACGGCAATTCTGGCCAACTTTACTCCATCGCATATTGATAGGTAGGACAGATGAAGTATATTCAGCTCTTAATATTGAAGATGCACCAATTTATGATACAGTTAAAGCTGAAATTTTAAATGCTTACGAACTGGTGTCAGAGGCATATTGACAAAAGTTTTAAAAATATAAAAATTTGATAATCAAACTTTTGTGGAATTTTCAGGAGATGGGGAAGAACTTTTTGATCTATGTTTAAGAGCTAAGAAAATTGAAGGTGACGTTAATAAATTTCGCCAATTAATTCTTATAGAGGATTTTAAACAATGCATGACCCGTGTTTTATTAACGCACCTTAGAGACAAGGATATTAAAAATATAAATGAGGCAGCAATCCTCTTTGATTCTTACACTGTAATGCATCAAAAGAATTTTCATGTTATCGGTAATTATAGACTTATTGAAAATTATGAAAATAAATCAGTAGACCAGTCGGGGTTTTATCAAATCTCTCTGTCACATTCTAAACCTCGAACGTTTTTATAATTCTGTTGAAGCAGAATAAAACATTACATGTGCTTATAAAAAAATAATCACATTTTTTTCTAATTGTGACACTATTTAGCGTTTGACTAACTAATTAAGCGTGAAAATTAAAAGCGAGAAATACTTAAGGCGAGAAGAAGCTATCACGAAAGACATACTGAGCGATGTTATTTTTTTAACAAAAGAAAAGTGTTAAATATTTTGTTTTCATTTGCGAAAAAAAAGTATTTTTTTCGCAGAAGATAGGAAATTCGTAAGATCTCGGATCTGTCGGAATTAATTTATCCTATGACGCGGCGAATAAAAGATAGCTATCTGCCCATGGCAATAATGAAAATTTCAAATTGGTCAAGTGGCTTACAAAGCAGAATGCTAAAAGATAATCAGATTTATGTCGAGCACCGACCGAGAAAGGGATCAGCTGAGACCACCCCAAAGAAAAAGGGAGGAGGAAGAGAAAAAGGAAAAGAATAAACCATTAACTATCTTTCGGAGATATCATTTGGTTTTGGAAAGGGACCACCTGTTTTATGTCCAGACCTTGACATGATAAAAGTTTGTTGCCGGGACGGATTGTTGGCGACAGAAGTACGAAGGCGTTGAGGATACAAGGAGATTTTGATAATCACTTGACGAAAATCTCGTTGATGAATTCCAGATGACATTCAGTTAAGATAGAGACTTAATGACCACACTACGAGTCGTGGGGGTCCCAGTCGGGGAAAAGAAAGAAAAGAAAAAGGAAGATATTTTTTTTCTTTGGGCAATAATTGTAAACTGAGGCCAAACTAGCCACACCCACGCTGCCGAGCGTTCATTGGCTGAATGGTGGCGTGAGCGATGGGCGAAGGTAAACATATGAGAAAGACGGGAAACCTGTTGACGCCTATGAGGGGATTGGTGTGAGATACCACTATGAGAAAGAAGGGAAACCTGTTGACGCCCTCTGAGGGGATTGGTGTAAGATACCAATATGAGAAAGGAAGAATTTGGGAGGACAATTTCCTTAAGAACCCCTCTAAAACAGAAAGTAATGGACTTCCAAAAATGGAAAATGATAAATTTTCCTGTCCGAAAACAAAGAAAATCCTTATTGCGGATTTAGAATTATCGAGGAACCCAAACCACGACAGGCCCCCACCCGGTTTTGGTCGGCGTCTATATAAACGTAGTTACAGGGCAGAGACAGTGGCAGTTGGGCAGACGCAGACAGAGTTACAGAGCAGACAGAGTTGAGCTGTGAGCTCGGAGACCAGCCTCGCAGGAGCTGACTGAAAGATATCCACGCATTCCGACTTAGACTTCTAACCAAAAACAATTTATTTTTGAAGAACGATTTAGACTCACACCACCAAAACAAGTTTTATTAATATCGCCTGAAGATACTAAAAACCAGTTTATTGAAAAACAACTTAAGATATTAAGACTCGCCTAACAAACGCAAAGTGTCACGTATCCATAGAAGCGCTTTGGGAGAAAGATGTAGTCCTGTATTCAGAAACCAGATATAAAAATATTTGTTATTCTTTTTTTAACACATTTGAATCTTTCGAGTTGTTACTTTATTTTCTTTTACATATACTTGTGCAGTGTCACCTTTGCTCGAATTCGGCTTGCACTACGGCCCGACGACTGATTGATTTCGTCTACCTAAGATCAAATCACAACGTGGGTAGGTTAGACTAGAAATCGAAGCAGTTACTTCGGTAACCAGACGTTGGAGGCGAGCTGGGAACGACAAAGCTGATACCGAATCTAACCAGATTTTCATCCGAATCAGCCAAGGGTTAGAACGTTACATTTGGCGCCGTGACCAATACCAAGTCATATTGGTCGTCACAGGATAACATGGGGGCAGAGGCACAGGGTGACGTCACAAATTGCTTGAAGCTTAAAAAGAAACGTGAAGCTTTTGATACTAAAACAACCTAATAAGAAACATTTTTGCATCTCAAAAATTCCTGACACTCAGTACCTTAAACCCAGTTCTTTTTCCATGTAGAATTATATGCCCTTCTTGTCACAGGGATTTGTTTCTATTGATTACATTGGATTGACTGACATGGTCCAGTTATTTTAGGTGTTCGCCTTGCTCTTTCTGGGCAAAAGGGTTCTGTATAATTTAGCAATGATTTGGCTGGTGGGAAAGTTGTTGCGGAACGTATTGTCTCAGAAATCTTAAATTTTAATAATGATTGTCACTCGAAAAGTTATTTTCTAGTTGCGCTGTTACAATTTGAAAAAGTAGCAAAAAATTTAAAATGGCCGCACCAAATCTGACCAACTTTACTACAGAGTGTCTTGATAAGTATATTCAGCTCTTAATATTGAAGATGCATCAAATTATGATACAGTTAAAGCTGAGATTTTAAATGTTCATAAACTCGTGCCAGAGACAGGCAAAACTTACGAACATGTAAATAATTTGATAATCAAACTTTTGTGGAATTTGTAACAGATAAGGATGTTTTCAATTTGCAAGAGATAAGGATTTTTGATCAATGGCAATGGCTAAGAAAATTGACGGTGGTATTAATAAATTTCGCCAATTAATTCTTATAGAAGATTTTAAACAATGCATGACCCGTGCTTTATTAACGCACCTTAGAGACAATGATATTAAAAATATAAATGAAGCAGCAATCCTCTCTGACTTCTATACTGTAAAGCGTCAAAAGAATTTTCATGTAATCGGTAATCATAGATTTATTGAAAATTATGAAAATAAATCAGTAGACCAGTCGGGGTCTTATCAAATCTCTCTGTCACATTCTAAACCTGCCACAGTATGTCAGGTCGACTTTGGAACCGTGGCATTGCACTCAATTTGAGATGATAAATAAAGACACATAATATTTTTTCCAAATCATTACGATTTTTTAGCAAACAAGTTTAAAGATTAATTTAGGTTCAAAATCATTGCGTTGGGATTTCATTCCGGTGATCAGTGAAAACCTTATAGCACAGTCTTATAAAATTTATAATTTACTGAAGCTTCAGGACACATGGCACAGTAGATGAAGGCGTTAGTTACATCCAGTGACAGGACCTAAAGAGTGTGAGTTCAATAGCCGGTTAAGACAGTGGAGAACTTGGAGAGGGGAATTAACAGGAGATAACTGATAACTGACATCCATTAAACATGGCACGTCGAACTAGAACAGTCTACCTCAGTGAGCGAAATAAAGAGTTCAGTTCGACATTCCAACCAGCTGAAGAACGCCGGGGCGTACAACGGCCGAAACGTTGTAATAAATATGGCGAATAATGTAAATAGTTTACTGAAGCTTTACAAACTGTTTATGGACAAGATGAATGGCACAAGCACATTATTACTAAATCATTGTGCCATCAAATAAAACCTTAATTTATTTCAAAGGGAAATTATATTGAACAATTTAGATATATTATGATGTTATACAATGCAGTAGTTTTAGTGTGATTTTTCTATTAACAATGCAAATTTAAAACATTTTGTCTTATTTGTGCCCAGCAGTATTATGGTGTTATATACATTTTTATCCTTTTTTTTTTGTTTTTATTAATTATAATCTAACAAGTCTTATTCATTGAGTAGTCATTTTTTTAATCTTTTAGAATTATTTTTACATAGTTTTTACTTATCGAATATAGTAAACTTAACTGCATATTTTGATTGCGGTGATTCATAATTAGAATACTGGTTTTAATATATTTTCCAGTCAATGTACCTAATACAAAAGATATCAACTTTTTTGGATTTATTCTTGAAATAGTAAAATTTTAAAGTCAGTTCGTAAGCAAAAACCTACGGAAATTACTTTTTCTGTGCATTTTTTCAGGCGAACTTTAAAACTAAATACTCAAAAATTGGTAAAAGCTATGAATCTAATTTTTGGTGTCATCAGTACTTATTGCAACATGACCAAACTTTCATACCGTGTGCAATTTTGATTTTTTTTTTTTTTTTTTTTTTAAAAAGGGAAAAAAATCAACCTGCTAGTAAAAAAAAGACGTTTTAATAATTCTGCTGAAGCAGAATAAAAAAGATGAAATGTGCTTCTTGTAAGAAAAATAATCACATTATTTCTGATGACGTGAAGCTTAAAAAGAAACGTGAAGCTTAAAGCTTTTTTTGTCCACTCGCTTTTGCTACTAAACAAGCTAACAAGAAACCTTTTCTCATTTCAAAAAATCCTGATAATCAGAATCTTCAACCCAGTTCCTTTTCCATGAAAAATTATATGCCCTTCTTGCCACAGGGATTTGTTTCTATTGATGATACTAGCTGTTTTAAACCTGTTAAAATCTTAAGAGATACTGGTGTGTTTCAGACCTTATTGTTAGAAGGTGTGCTACCCTTATCGGACACAACTTTCACTGGTGTTTCAGTATTATTACAAGGTGTTCAGCCAGGTGTCATTAATTTTCTCCTCTATCGGATTTACTTAAAGTCGGACCTAATTACTGGGCCCGTTATTGTAGGTTTTTGCTCTACGCTTCCTAACAAAAGGGGTTTCTCTATTGTAGGTGGGAAAGCTATTGTGGATCCTATTATCTTAGACATATTAAATTTAAATAATGATTGTGATTCGGAAAATCAAGACACATATCCCGAAGGAAACTGAAAATGATACAGAAA